ACCTTCACAAGCCAAGGAGCCGATGCAACCGCAAGATGTCCCCAGCGGACCATGGCAAAAAGTAGGAATGGACTACTTTGAACTTGACAATAAGCCACATATTGTCATGGTAGATTATTACTCGAATTGGATTGAAATTGATCCTGCATCATCAATGTCAGTGAACACATTGATTACTGTTTGTAGAAAACATTTCTGCCGACATGGTATTCCACTAATAGTCATGTCAGACTCAGGAAGTCAATTCAAATCCTCCCAATTCAGAGAATTTGCAAACAAATGGGATTTTCAGCTTGCAACGTCTTCGCCTTTCCACCAGCAATGCAATGGAAAAGCAGAATCAGCAGTGAAAATTGCCAGAACCCTATTGAAGAAATGCAAATTGGATGGATCAGATCCAAATCTAGCATTATTAGAATGGAGATCCACCTCCTGAACATATCAATGCTTCTTCAGCCCAATTAATGTTTAACCGCAGAACCAGAACTCGTCTACCAATGTTGCAAACAAAGCTTACATGCAACATTCAAACAAACATCGATGAAAAGAGGAAGAATAGACAAGAAAAACAAACAAAATATTATAATCGTCACACCAAACCTCTTACAACAATACAAGAAGGAGAATGTGTAGGAATTCAAATTCCAGGGTCAACAAGATGGGTTCCAGCAAGAGTCAATGAAAAGCTACCACACAGAAAATACATTGTGGAAGTCGATGATGGTCCATATGTAAGAAACAGAAAATTTATTCGTCGATCATAACCAATGCCCGTTAATCCGACATCGGATACTCAACATCCAATTTTATCTCCAGTTCCGCCGACGACAGAAGATAGAAATCTGACAAAGAATGATCAAGAGTCATCACGAAATATTATGAGCTCAAATCCACCATTACTTCGTAGTACAAGAATACGTCGTAGACCACAAAGATATATCGAAAATGAATGAGCTCACAGATCAGGCAATGTGCTAGTAACCTCTTGCCTGTAGGTTTAAATATATAGCGTTTTATTATAACATATCATACACTTAAAAATAAGAAAAGGGAGATGTGTCGTGATGATGTCATATAATGATTTAATGTCATTATAATGCTTTGCACGAATATATCTATGACGTCATAAGTAATGAACCTGTAACATGCGCAATATACATTGGAGTTTATGAGTTGATGCTGCGTGCTGCTATTATCCTGTTCTGTATTTATTACTGTGTATTTAACAATACAACTGTGTTCTTGAAAGTCTTGAGTATTCATATGTTCATTGCAACGCCTCTAGGTATCTTGGCGATAACCCAACGAGACAGTTTTCTCGTATGAAGCACGTAAAGAGCAAGATTAGATCTTCTATCACTGATCGTCATCTTGAGCAATGCATGCGCTTGGCAACTACCTCGATAGAACCGGACATCAAATTTTTAGTTCGAGAAAAACAAACTCAAGTGGCTCATTAAAGAGTAATTATTGAATTTGTTGAAATGTGAATAAACTTCTGTGCAGCAAGACTCTTGATTCGCTTAAAACTTATGTTGAAATTCTTAACTAAATTATAACGTGATTGGTATATAGGTTCGTTAAAAACGTTTGCGGCCCGCAAAGAATTTAGTCATACAAAAGTGGCACGCGACACAAAAAAGGTTGGGCAGGCCTGATGTAGAGCCATCAGTTCATTCAGTGAAGCACACAAATAGAAAGTAGAATAAATATCAAGCGGACAGCATTATTTTACCATTCAATATATACAATACAGGGTGCCGCTTCAGTCTGTCAGTATGTAATATACCTACATGTTTCTACCTAAACTTGTGATATACCATAAATATTCTATTGAATATTTTTTTACTTTTGAAATTTATAAACCATCAATTTTATTAAAAAAATATCCAACCCTTTGCCGCTCACAGGTGGACCACTGATATCTAATTCAATAATTTTAGCGTAGTTAATCACATCGTTGATGCAATTGCAGAATTAAACTAAAGCTCACATAAACCATATCAGGCATAATGAAAATTAAGTTACACAACTATTTTTTTGAAAACAGAACGTGAAACTGACAAATAACACGCAAAACTATAAAAACGAGGTAATGTTTACAACCCTGCCTGAACATCTGTCTGAGCAGCTGCAAAAACTGCAATTATTTCTTATTGGGTATGGTTAAGAGTTAATGTAACAAACAAGGAAATCGATGCTCCAGGTAACCCTAATGTTATGTAGCTAATAAGTACAGGTAATGGGCTATTGTTCAGTTGTTACACACTAAATATTGTATTTCATATGATTTTAATAATAGACACTAGAATAGACTTGAAAAAAGCCAAAAAAACGCCAAAAAGACAAACGGAAGTTCTAACGCCAAACTAGGGTTACCATATTTTTGTGACTTCAAATCGGGACGCCTCAAAAGACAACGATCCCTTAGCTGTGATTTTATAACTTCACATTTTCCGATATAGGCCTACATTCCTACATTTAAAGCTCGGCTGTCTTCATTGACCATATTGTTATCAAAATTTCATGCGCATATTCTCTGTCCAAATATCTGGTTCAGTTCGAAAAATAGGAAGGAATTGACGTTACCGATACCGGTACAAATAATTCGAATTCAGACTAATTAGTATTGGTTTTACATGCGATACGTCTGCCATCAATGGGAATCAGCGGGAAACGAACGCATTCACCGTAGGCTAGCGCTGCGCTACACAGAAACAACAGTAACGAGGACATGTTTGCGTATTATGCTGGAAAAGCGGGACTTTTGACTGACTTATCATGACGGCGGGACAAAACGCTTAAAAGCGGGACGTATGGTATGCCTACGCCAAACGCGTTTGAAAAAAGCCAAAAATGGCAACCCTGTTACTGACCCCACAGCTACAAATCGATTCTATTTATAGTACTGTCGTTTTTGCTGACACAAAATTTGCTCTTTTCTCCTTGTGTTCTCTCAAAAACGTCATCTTCAAATCAATGTTAACGATAACTTTTCATTTAAGACCATGCATGAAATGGATAATTACATGTCACCGGGCAATAGGAGAGACCTTTTTACAGCGAAGAAAGCGATTGGAACATGTTTTTACTTGCCCGATGAAAAACGCGTTGCAAAGGTGGTCATGAGGCGCATTATGTACCAATTTTTAGCGATTCGTAAATTGACCGAAAAGCGCTTTGAATAATTTGCGATTCGATTTCGAATATTCGGTTCGCTTGGTCAGTCCCAACGACTAACATACGTCAGCTCTAATCACAGCACCACCGCTCACGTGACTTGCGCTGCTGCAAAATCAATGAAAAAAATTTCGCGCGAGAGATTTGTCATAGTCAAATTTATTTTTTTCGTCCATTAAGTATTAACATGCTAAGTTTAAGAGAATAATATCCAATACACATTTCACTGAGGAAGAGAAGCCGTGGTGAGAGAGAGATTTATTGCGACCAAAACAATACTAATATAAACACATTAGGCCTACAATAAATAATATATTTCATCAGTAATTGATTATTGTTTTTTTGTGCGGGTCGGTGTGCAGGACCAAAGCTGGTTATTAAGCAGCGATACCCAAGGACCGAATATCTAATTAAATATTTCAAGTTCCAACATTATCGGATTATTATTATGATTATCGGAGTACTGTTATTATTGATGACCAAGTCTTTGGTGTTAAACAGCCAACATCGAGCAATACGAATTACACATAATTCGGCCTGCTTTGAGGCTATGGGGTATTCCCCAATTATGCAGACTGAATTGAGCAAAATAATGAAACAGCTTTGACTGGAAGTTAGGATAGGAATCCTATCATAGGATTTACATATTTATCCCGGGGGAGAGGAAAGTCGAGGTATGGGATTAGTTGTATTGTTTGTTTTCGGAAGCATTACAGTCCAGTCTGGATTTCATGGCCTTTTTGAACGAGAAATCGGGCGTGCAATCAGAAATTCCCGCGTGCAAATAAGAATTCCTGGCGTGCAATTACAGCTCACGGCGTGCAAAACAACTGCGCCCGCGTGCAACTGACTTTGACATTAGATACCCTTCAATACATCCGCGTACAATTACCGGTATCGATAAAAAATACGTTAAATCGGAGCAAAAATGGACGTTTGACCTTTGACCCCAAACATTATTTCTACAGTTTGTCGCTAATTTTGAGAGTGCTTGTGCGACTTTGTATACCAGTACTGTTCAGTACATCCGCGTAAAATTATTGGTTAAAAAATACGTTGAACCAGAGCAAAATGGACATACTTTGTCATTAATTTTGGGAGTGTTTTTACGTATAATTATTGGATAAAAAATACGTCAAATTACAGCAAAATGGACGTTTGTCCCCAAACATTATTTTTATACTTCATCACTAATTTTGAGAGTGTTTGTGCGACTTTAGATACCGGTACTGTTCAGTACATTCGTGTAAAATTATTGTATGAAAAATACGCTAAATGAGAGCCGTACCTGGCCAGCGTTGGTGCAAAGGTGATCTTTTTGTCCATAAATATTCTCACGGGATTCCTATCGTTCAACACGATATTGTCTTTCTTGCTTCGCATTTTTCGATCAGACCAAATCTTGCAAGCTAGTATTAGTCGACAATTGTGGAGTTATAATATTTTGGTATCTTTATATTACTGGGTTATTGATTTTAAAACCATTTAAACCGATTTACATTGGTGAGCAATTGCAAATTTTCGGGGTGCAAAATTGGATTCGCTCGCGTGCATTTTTGCGGAGCGCTAGCTCTGTTGGGCGTGCACCTGCCATGGAATCCAGTCTGGGTTACAGTGTTGTTTCCTTTTATTTCCCACCTCACTGATATTCTAACAGTTTCCAACTTATTTTTATTTCCGAAACTCAAGTTATTAGAATAAACTTTATTATATATTATTGATTTTGTTGTTATCTCAGTTCAGTGGTAATTTTTTTTCCACTATTATGGATGTTCACACTTAATTCATATAAATTATATTTAATTACCAGATTTTTTGCATGTTCAAATTCAGTTCAAAATATCTTACCATATTGTGAGATTGCGATAGTCGACTAATTAAATATCTTTTTAATTAAACTGAATAGTGGGATGATATGTCAAATTCATATATTAAACTCCATAAAAAAGAGAAGCAAATATTTTGTGAAGTATGTGGAAAAGGCTTTAAAGCAGCATGTAATTTGAAAAGGCATATGAGAATGCATACAGGAGAAAGACCATACTCTTGTACAATATGTGAAAAGTGTTTTGCGCGATCAAGCAATTTGAATGTTCACATGAGAATTCATACAGGGGAGAAACCATATTCTTGTAAAACATGTGGCAAATGTTTTGTGATCAAAAGTACTTTGAACAGACATATGCGAATTCATACAGGAGAGAAGCCATGTTCCTGCAAAATATGTGGAAGATGTTTTACACATAAAGCTAGTCTGGATATTCATGTCAAAAAAATACATACTGGTGAAAGGCCATACTCCTGCGAGATATGTGGGAAATGTTTTTTGCAATCTGGTGATTTGAAACGTCATGTGCAAATTCATACCGGAGAGAAGCCATATTCTTGTGAAACTTGTGGCAAACTTTTTTTGCAATCAAGTCATTTAAACACACATATGCGAATCCATTCCGGTGAAAAGGCATACGCTTGTGAAACATGTGGCAGATGTTTTTCACAATCGGGTACTTTGAACACACATATGCAAATCCATTCACGTTATAAGCCATACTTCTGTGAGATATGTGGCAAACGTTTTCCACAATCTAGTAATTTGGAGAAGCATATGAAAATTCACACAAGAAAAAATCTTACTGCTGTCAAACATTTGGAGAGTGATCCATGAGAGGAGATAATATAAAAAAAAATTGTAGAACTTGTGACAAGTGATATGAAGTGGTGGGTGAACACTTACAGTCGACCACATACAAGTTCCACGTTTGAAGCCAGGCTCGTTCTTGCATGATGCAAATTTGCTATGTGTGTAAATAATGAAATCTTGTTCATGTAAACAAAAAATAAAATTTTGCAATTGTATCTGACTGTTTAAAGTGTGTGCGTTTTGCAATTTTATTGCCCTGTTGGCATTCTAACATTTTTTTTATACAAGGATTGAACTTTTTTCATTCTAATTAGCTCACATTCATCGTGATTTTCCGGCAACAGCAGCACGATTAGGTCATTGATTCGCAAGCTGCATTCTTGTATCATTGCGTAATATTTACTTCTTCTGTTGAAATATTTATCAGGGGCGGTGCAATATACCGGATATTACTTTAGATATGGACTCCGAGCTATCCGAAAAATCGCACTTTAGGATAACAAAGGTCAGCTACTCCCCGCCAAAAACAGTAGTTTCTCAACACTAAAATTTCACTTTTTCGAATTAGATATTAGAAACTCGGGTGTCGCAGCTCGATAACCAGCTTGACTTCCTTTCCCCGGTAAAACTGCACTCATATTTTCTGTGTTTATTTTTTTTTATTTGCTGGTTGGAATAAATAAACTTGACTTGAGTTATTCTCGATTCATAGACATCTGCAAATACAGTTATGTATGCCCGAAAAATGGAACTATAAAATACAGTAATGAATGAGATCAAAAGTAGCTCTTGATAGGAAGAACCATATGCTTGCAAGATGTGTGAAAAACGATTTGCGAAAAAAGAAGTATATTCAATTTCGTACTGGATAAAAACCATAGGCTTTGCTTATAGACCTTATTCATTAAAACCCATTCTACGCGCAAAAAGAAAAATGATGTGAACAAAACAATTTTAACATTAGCTCTTATGGGAAATGTGATCACCAAAAGCATAAATTTGCATTTTTTGTAATTTTCTAGATATGTTTCATCGTATACGTGTGCAGTTTTGAGGATAGAATATTTTTTACATCAATTTTGATATTTTTATCATGATAAACATGGTCAAGATTTTTGATAATCGTTCATTGAAATTTTTCTTGATATCTTCGGGGAACTTTGAAATAAGCCTTTTGTATTCGACGGATTTGGTTTCAAATTCCTCATTTCAAGCTGCTCTGGCAATTCCATCATCCCCGAAAAGAGAGGGTAACAGCATTTTTTTCGATTCTTCAGAAATTGACCCCTTTGTTCGCAACAGACGTTGCAGATTTTCGATCAAGTGTCGTGTGCATAGGAACCGCTGAACTCCTGGAAAACAATTGTCAAGAGCTTTTGTTAATGCAAACTCGTTGTCACTTCCAAACCTAATTTCCGACGTGAAAGCAGTGGTTGATATCCTGGCCCTCAAGTGAGAAAAAAAATGGCAATATGTCGTGAATTTTCCATCCCAGTGGAGGTAAATTGAGCCCAAAAATATAGGGTTTTCACCAGTGCTATTTCTTATGACTTTCGACTGCTTGTACACTATAATGGTGGCATAACAGGCACCAAGGTTAAACGTGCGATCAACACCCAAAATTGTTTTATCACTTGTCGTTGAAGCTATTCGCTTGAGATCAGCGAGCTGATTATTGGTATACAAAATTACACAGGGTGGGGATCCTTTGATTACTGCTGCCTCTCGCACAAAGTCATCTGTCTGTACCATGCTTAGCACATCAAGAACACCATCAGCGTAAGTGCGAGAATCCCGGGGGATGAATCGAATCTTCATCAACCATTTTCTTATAGATTTCCCTTGTGGACATCTTCGACTGCACATGATCATCGATATTTTTTTACAACTCCAGGAGGCGATCTTACATACTCACTCTTGTTTCGTTTTGTATTTCCGTGGGGAGGCATGGACTGTTTCAGGAAAGCTCCCAGGTATTCAACGATAGCTCTCTCTTCATCGATGCAGGAACCATCGTAACCACGAAACTAAGACACCCGTTTTTGATAGCTCGTGTCCGCCTTTAGTTTGCTGTACACTCCATGAAGAATTAGAATTTCTTGGGTGTCGGGCATTGGCCGTACATGCTCTTTCCTGAATCCCCCCCCCCCCTGACTTTTTCTCTGTGTAGATTCCATTATCTTTTCTGACGAATTTCAAGTTGCCATTTTCTTTAATGATGAAATAGGCTCCGACCACGCGCCACAATCATCTGGAACAAAATTCCGTTTGCTATTTTTTTTGCACCTGTACCACGAATCCAATGTTGCTTTTCGGATCAGTGGGGATTTCTTTTTCAGCAATAACCTCCGCCAAGATGGTTGTGGGTGCAAGAAATCTGCCACTCAATCGTATTTCACGCTCATCATTTGATGATTCGAAAGGAGTAGATGGACTTGACATAATTGGTGTGGGTAGCCCTCATCTTTGTCGTCACTGATATCCCAATCAAGTTCAAAATTAATCGGGTCCATACTAATGCTAGTATCAGAACTGGTTTCATCAAAATTAAAATTTCTAAATTTGAATGGGGTTACGCCTGGAGAGTCAAGAATGGTATTCAAAGTCTCCTTTACTGGGGTAGAATGGAAAGCACCAGGATTAAATTCAGTTTCTTCAACAAGTGGTACAAAGTGGTTTGGGATCCAGTCAGAAGTCATTGTCATTTCTGTTGTTGTCCACATAATCTAAAGATATACGCCAACTGTTTCTTTAGGCTTGAAGCAATTGCTGAGAAACTTGGAATATAACTCTCTTGTCCCATTAACAGGGGGTACAGCATGTTCACTTGTCTCTTAATGACGTTGGAGAGTGCCATTATTGTCCAAGCTGAAGAAAGGCACCAATACGAGTACAGTCGACACAGGCTTTGCGGTAGTCCGGGGACACATGGCAAACAACTTTCCCAATATCAGACTGAATGTATTTGTCTTCATTATTGACCATTTCGATACAAGTTCTTGTCCGAAGCTCATTAGCCATATCTTCAGAATCATTCTGAAGCAACGACACTGCGTTGAAAAAGCAATTAAATTACCATCTGCTGTAGTCTTATCTCGACACTCCCTAGTCAAATTTTTTTTCAATTTTTCAATTAGCATTTGTCGCCTACCCAAGATGGCTTGAAAGGTCATTGAAGGCTTGTTTGAATCATATTATCGTTTTCTATACGCAAGATGTCGCTAATGGACCGCTCCATGTACGAACTTTTGCGTACGTGAGAAAATTCATCGACGATTGTAAACAAACATTCGAACCTTTCTTCTTTATGGCCGTCGGACTGTTACCTATGAGAAGGGAACTCTCTCGCGAGCGTAATAGTCGTCTCGCTATTTGTTTTCCTAACAAAATGATACTACAGGCAATGCTGTAGCTGTAACAGCTGCCGAGGAACGAAGCGGTATGTTTGTGAAGTCGTGTGCGATGAAGCGTCGCATCGACGGTTAGCTATCTCGCTGAGTTTGAGGCGGCGCTTTGTTTATAGTTTACTCGTGTAGCGTTGCGCGAATGTTATAACATTCGTAAACTTTGGCTAAATTGATTTTGCTTATTTGCAAATGACCTACTTTAGCAGCTGCTCGCCCTGAATAATGGAAAGCACTGCGAATTCATTTACTTTTGACTCATCATAAAATAATGACAGACTGTTATGATATTACACAGCTGTGCTCGTATATAATATTGTACAATACAATATGAGAGCGATAATTGTGAATAAAATAATAGGAAATAAGAATGGTATGGGAAAAGACGATAATAAAAAAAAAAATAATATTGTACAATACAATATAAAGAGCGATGAATGTGATGTTCATTCTGTGTACGCAAAGGAACTGCTTTCGCGACTGAATCAAAAGGTAACACAATCAAAAATAACATGAGATATACAATACAAAAATTTTAGCGCCAATATTCTACCTTTTATGCCAGTCACGAAAGCAGTTTCTCCCTTCGCGTACACAGAGATGAACATCACATTCATCGCACTTTATTGTGCTCCGCGAAATATTAGATTTTTCGTTCGAAACGCGAACTTTTTTCGAACATACTGCGCACGCACACTTTTGTCTGCCCAGTGGAAACTGGAAAATGTGCCCCTGTGTTTTGAAGTCGATTCAAAGATGAGGTTGACGAACCAGAGAGTCGCCGTGTTGCCCTATCAGCGCCGTAACTAATTCTATCCGGAATTCTAAACCGGACCACCGACTTCCAGAAAGATTTTCCGAAACCACCCTGCAATTGTGCATAGCGACTTCCAGTAGATATGAAAATATTCTGCGGTACCAAACTCGGGACCGTCTAGTTAGAATATAATATTTCCTCATTTGGTCAGACAAATCGACGCCTCCCATATGAGCGTTATAATCTCTTAGTAGAGGCGGGCATGGCACTTCGATACTGCCCGATGTCCCCCCCCCCCCTTCTCTTCACGGTCTTTTTTCCGTTATCGTCTGCCTCATATCCAGGTTGATGAAACGTCGAGAGAAAATAGACGGCTCAGTTATCTACCCACGATTGGGCCAGTAATTCGTTAGCCATACGCCAATCGGTGGTGCCTCGAGCAACTGCGCGCACGCGCGTCACGATAAGTTCCTTTGGGAACCCTATCCGATTGCTTCTGAACGTGTAAGTATTCAAACAGTTCGGGGCTTGTATAAAAATTATCAACGTACAAACGATGATTCAGCCCCTCAAAAGGACTGATTAGATGTTCCACCACGCGAGACGACAGTCCAGCTTCGGAATCCTCTGTCGGTTCTTTCCCGCAGTAAATTTTCAATCTGGACACATAGCCCATGGCAGACTCAGCTAGCACCCACACTTTTATACCGAATATTGCCCTTTTCGACTTTATAAACTGTCGGAAACTAATTCTGCCCTTGGAAGGAATCAACGTTTCGTCAATCGAAAGTTCTCTTCCCGGGGTATAAACGTTTTCAAATAAAGATAACATCAAAGACAGAAGTCCTCGAATTTTATACAATTTGTCTCTGTTTGGATCATCGGATCTCGGCGCCGATGTCTCTTCGCAGAAATGGAGATATCTATAAATTTCGCAAAATCTGTCTCTCGGCATTATTTTATTGAAACTGGGAATATCGAATAGCCAATCCTTTCTTCGCCAATACATAGCAACACTGG